CAAAAAAAAAAAAAAAAAAAAGAAAAGAAAGAAAAATTAGCTTTCTCACTTAAACCTTTGCATCATGTATACATTTATATTATCTGATGGCTTGCATTTTTGAAATTCTACCTAGTAGTATTTTTATGTTTTATTTTTTGAGTTGGCGTCTCACTCTGTCGCCCAGTTTAGAGTGCAGTGGCACACTCCCGGCCACCACAGGCTCAACCTGCTGGGCTCCAGCGAACCTTCCACCTCAGCCTTCCAAGTAGCTGGAACTACAGGTGCACGCTACCACACCCAGCTAATTTTTGATTTATTGTTAGACACGAGGTCTCGCCAAGTTGCCCAGGTGGGTCTCGAATCCGTGGGCTCAGGCAAACCATTTGCCTCGGCCTCCCAAAGTGCTGGGATGACAGGCTGAGCCACCGAGCCCGGCCCCTAGCAGTATTTTTAAATGGTCTTTGAAGTTAATGAATGCTCATGATTGCTTTTTTCTTCTTGTACACATGGATAAAAATCTCTATGTGTACAAAAACTGTATCTACAGGATCTGGGGAAGCTGATTGAAATCGAATGTCTGGAGTGTGAATTAGAAGCTCTAAGACTCGAAAATAAAATTACACTCTATATCCGAGCAGCTGTTGAGGTAAGTCCTTAAACAGGAGTCAGGGTGCGTGTTGCATTATTTTGCAGATGTCCTACAACTTGATGAGAGCCGAGTCTGTGCCAGGTTTGAGGGCGCAGGGGACGTGGCCTGGCCCCCACTGCCAGACTCACCCTGGCCCTGCCCCTGCTCTCGTGCGACTGCAGGCGCCAGGCCTGGTCTCCAGGGCCTTATCTCCCCACCTGCGAACAAGGCGATGACACAGACTCCCTGCAGGGACACGAGCGACCTGGGTGGCACCTGGGGCGCCAGAGCCAGCCGTCCTCCTTCACAGTCCCTGATGTCTCCCTGGGCTCCCTCAGCCTCACCGGGGGTTGGGGCCACGCAGTGTTGCACTGGGCAGGGCTGGGCCATGACGCTTCTTGGGCCACACCCTCCTGCAGCCTGTGTGGAGCTGCCCACCCAGTCTCCACACACCCTGGTGACACTTGCCTTAGGCGGTAACCTCCCCTGTCCCCAAGAGGGCTCTCAGTCAACCGAACGTATGTCCAGGAAGGCATCCAATGGTGAATGCCAGAAGTTCCCACCTGCTTTAGCCGTTGGCCTTGCTGGTCCTGGACCTGAGGGACAAAGCTGTGACGTCATCATGGGGCCCGGGGTGGGTGGGAAGGGCGTGTCAGGGGCTCGCCAAATTGCTCTTACTTCCTCAGTTGCCCTGTTTGGAAACACAGGATTTTTTGGAGTGTCCCAGTCCACAGTTACTGAAGAGGCAGCTTCAACCTAGGCTGGCAGAGAATCGCCAATGGCGTGAACTTGACTTAACTCTGTTTTCTGTTTACTTAAGACAGTAGGATCTGGGGTAACAGCCACTGCCAGAAAGGGGATCTAGAAATCATTTTAGATGATTCTTCAGTAAGAATTTTGCAGATTAAATAGAAGAGCAAAAAATCGATTGAAGCAGCATAATGGCAAGTAGCATTGATGTGGAACCAAGGAGGGTGCTGCCAGGGTTGGCCCAGGGAACCCTCACCTCAGCCCTGCCAGCTGGGCTGTTCATAGGCCTGGCCTCCGTGGAGCCGGAGGCATGTGAAGACGGTCAGGTGAGGAGGAGAGGCCAGGGAGGCCTTCCCTGCCCCCACGTTGGACAGGCCTGATCTCAGCCCAGCTCCTCCTCCCCTGTTTGCTGCCTGCTGGCAGGTGCGTGTGTTCCCTGTGGATTTGCTGGGGCACACCTGCCTTCATGGTGTTGAACCTCTCCAGGTAGAGCTTGACTGCGGCCTGCCACGTGCTGGTGCCTCACTCGTGGTAGGCACGTGTTTGAAAACTGCTTCATAGGGAACACTCTGGCTGCCACGTTCTATCAGGAGACCGAGTCGAGGCTGGTTGTGACTGTGGCAGTGTGGACCACACAGCTGCACTCGCCATGCCTCTGTCTGCCTAGGACTGCAGAGGCGCCGGGCAGGGCTTCATGAGGACGGGAGGGACTGGGCAGCCGAGCAGCACGAGGGGGTCCTTCATCCCAGGTGTGGGCTCACCCCAAGGCCCAGGAGCAGCACGAGGGTGAAGCCGGGTGTCGGGAGCCTGAGGTTGTGGGGATGCAGCCAGGCAAACGTAGGTCACCCGGAGTGGCCCCAGGGGTGTGAGGAAGGTGGGAGCGTGGGGAGACCAGTTCCACGGGTCTTGAAATCCCGGGCCTGAGCCTTTCGGCCGGGAAGAGCATGTGCAGCACAAACCAGAGGAGACTTCTGTGGGTTGAAAACATAATGGGGCACAGGCCCCGTAAATACACGAAATCAAGAAATAAGCGGGCTTTGATGAATCAGTGGGAGGCAGACTGAGCCATGAGTGTCAGAGAACCAGTACGTCTTTTAAGTATATCTTGTAAGGGCAGGCACTCCATTCTAGAAAAGGTGCCTTGAGACATTTTCTTTTCTTTTCTTTTTTTTTTTTTTTGAGTTGGAGTCTCACTCTGT